ATAATTATTCTAATTATATTTTAGATTTTTTATATTTAAAATGAGATGTTTATCTTGTATTTGATTATATTTATCTGCCAATTAGTTACACGAATTCAAATATGGAGCTTTGATAAGTTGTATTTACGCACAATCTACTTGCAATCTTGAGTTTTAAGTAATATGCATTAATAAACAGTACTTTACGCATAAAAAATTATTTTTAAGAGTTTTTATCAAATGTTTTATAATATAGTATAGATAAAGAGGTTTATGCTATACCGAGTAGACTTAAAAATTCTTAATTGTAAACCATGAAAAAAAGAATGAAAAAATATATCAATATAAATACTAAATTAAAGTTTTAATCATATTTAATATTTTTTATTAAAAAATAAAAAAAAAGTTCGGTTTAAAAATAAATTAATCTCAAAATTAGGACTTTTTAAATTTTCATTTATTCAAGGTTTTCGTTTCTAAAGGATGTTTGGAATTGCTTATAAAAATGACTTATTGACTTATTCTGGTATGGACATTGATAATAAACACTTTTGAGTGTTTAGATAAACTGTTTATACCGGTGTTAGACCGGTACTAAGGAGTTTTTAAAAAAATTAAATTATTCTAACTTATATAAGTTGATAAGAATTTTTATTAAAAAATATAAATTATTTCAAATAAATAATCTCAAATATATAAATATATCCATATATGAAAACAAAATGTATGAGAATTAAATCTGGAGACAAGATAATCTTGTAGATAAGTTTGAAAATTATTGTTGATTACTAATAATGGAAATAGAATGTAACTGAAAAACATGATACTTATCTTGTCAAATTTTAAATCATAATTCCTTTTAGATAAATAGAACCATAAAATACAATTTATTCAATGACGTTTATGTAATTATTTGATCATATATACTACTCTTCAAAGTGTGGAGGAAAATTGAGATATGGGACATGTATGTAAAAGTCGTTTTATTGATATTATTTTATTAAAAACTAAAAGGGTATTCGTACAATGCAGTGAGATATACCTTTATTTTAGTTTTTTTTTTTTATCTCTGTTGATGTAATACGATTTTTGTGGTTTTGAGAAAGATAATATTTTTTTACGATTTTGTGAAGTAATTTATTTTTGGCTTAACAATAAAATTTTATAAAGATAATGATTATGTTAGAACTCAATGATTATCCTAATTATATTTTAAAATGAGATGTTTATTTTGTATTTGATTATGTTTATCTGCAGTTAGTTATACGAATTCAAACATTAAGCTTTAATAAGTTGTACTTACGCATAATTTATTTGTAATATTAAATTTGAAGTAATGTGCATTAATACACAGTAGTGACATTACTTCATGCATAATAAATGATTTTTAAGAGTTTTTATCAAATGTTTTATAATATAGTATAGATTATCATAAACACATTTATGATATTAAAGTTTTCGTTTGGTTCGTAAAATTGGGTTGAATTTGGAGGGATTTTGAATTGAATTACATTTGAGAAGGATTTCTCATATTTGAAATTCCGGGATTTCATTGAAATCACTAACATAGATTTGAAATTGCGGAATTTCATTGAAATCATTAACAACGATTTTGATATCTCACGAGGGTGGTCGGGATTTTACGAGATTTCGTAGAATTTGTATATGATAATTTTTTTTTAAATGTGTTAAAACATTTGTTTTCTAATAGTTAACTAATAAAAAAGTAATTTAATTATTTTTATAATTATTTATTATTTATTTTTACAAATTATTTATATGTAATGGAATTCAATTTCATTCTAAATCCTATAAACCAAATATACAAACTGATCCCTTGCCTTGGTTTATCATGCCCGAAGTATGCTTACTATGGAGGAAATGTGTTAAGGCTTAACAAGCTGCGAGAGCGGCTGTGTTCCTAACACCGACAACCATGGTAACTCGAACACCATCGTCCAACAATTCGGATCAACGTGATTCTGCTCCCCCTTCGTCTGATGGGAATTACAGTTGATCAGGGTAACTCGGAAAAGGTCATGGTATGGGTTGTGGTTATTGAGGCGCCATGGTAGACGTGGTACCCATGGCATCATATTTCACATCATCGGCAGTGATACCAACCCTCATGGCAATCACCTCCTCGCCCCTACCCGATGGCCGGAAATACGTCCCCTCTTGGCACCTATGTGTAAGGCTGTAAACGAACTGAACGAACACGAACGGAGGTTTGTTCATGTTCGTTCGTTTAACTTAAACGAACAAACGAACGAACACGGACGGCAAACGAACGAAAATCTTTGTGTTTGTGTTCGTTTGTTTAGAAATCAGGTGTGTTCGTGTTCGTTTATGTTAGTTCGTTAACATGCTAAACGAACGAACATAAGCGAACGGGCTAAACGAACATAAACGAACGGGTTAAACGAGCATAAATAAATATTATTTGAATTCAAAGTAAATAAATAAAAGATTATATATTAAATTTAATATATAAACAAACATAAACGAACAAATATAAACGAACGAATATAAACGAACGGTAAATGAATGAACGTTCACGAACATAAATGAACGAATGATACTCTTGTTCATGTTCGTTCGTTTAACTAAACGAACAAAAAAATTTGTTCATGTTCGTTCATTTATTAAATAAACGAACATAAATGAACTTCCCGCCGAACGGTTCACTGAACGTTCGGTTCGTTTACAGCCCTACCTATGTGCAATTGTGCATAATAACATGGACCCAATGTTAGAATACTTGGGCCATTCCACGGGCTCCTACAGATATTGACTCCGCATTTCAAACGATGACTCTTAATCAACCACATGAAAACTGGTATTGGAACACCAACACAACATCGCTATAGTTGATCATTTGCGGGCTTAGGCTGGACATGGGCGGGGTTTAACCTATTTTTTTCCCAACGGGCCTAATATGGTAAAACCAAGCCCATTGTTACGGGTTTGAAAACTTACACATACCCGTCCTACAAAAGTACAAAGTACAAACAGACCGACTTGCCCATAGGTTAACGGGCTTAAAAATCTTGTTATATTTCTGTGAAAACAAAACTTATATTAAATCACAAGTTATGTAAAAAAATTCAAATACATAACAATTTTTCCAACTTAAAATTTGATGTAAATACATATCTATATACTTACTTTAGAAAGAAAAAAAATTGTTTCCTAAACATGATACATCAATAAAAAATGACTAAATGAGATAATAAGGAATTGATCAATTAAGTTAGTTATATTTTCAAGTTTTAGATTTTTAAAGAATGTTATTATCATCATGAGTCATGATTAAGTAGAAATTGATAAGTATTAAGAATTTTCAATTTTATTTGTAAATTTTAATTATAAAAGTTAATCATTATAAAAATATTAACGTGTCTGGCGGGCTTGTTTAAATATTTTTTTTTCCATTGCCCATGTCCGTCCATTAATTTTAATAAGTCGGTCCATCTCCTTGAGAATGATAATCCAAGTCCGTTTTTCTAGTGGGCCTAATATGACGGGTCTAGCAGGTCATCCTTCCCATGAATAGCTCTAAACATCGCATCTGACATCTAGTTCCGGTACAATTCCCCATGTTTTTAATAAAAGTCCCTCGCATCATATTATTGTTGGGAATAACAAACGTTTTACCAGTTACGACTACAAGTCACTCTACTTTTTCTAAACCGTTTCCAACGTTGTCTCTTCAAATGTTTTTTGTTGTTCCTAACCTCATGAAAGTTCTCACATTGGTTAGCCAATTTACAAAAGATAACAACATATCAATTGAATTTGACGTGTGTGGATTTTCTGCACGGGAACCAATATCATGTGATGCAACAGTAATGGTGACCTCTACCCACTTCAGCATTTCGAGCTCAACCTCCCTCCGCTTTCACTGTTATTACCTCCACAATTTGGCATAATCATCTTGGACATCCAAGCCTCGTTGTTCTCAACAACTTAATTTCAAGTCATGCCTTACGTAGTCACAAATGAGTCTCCTATAATTCTTTCATCACATATTTGTCTTCCATGTTTATAATCTTTAATGGATTTCACCACTATCTAATATCGTTAAGGATTTTCTTGTTCACTTTATTTAAACGAGAATCATTTCAGTCAATCTATGTTTTTCTAACTAATCTTTTTTCCTCAATGTTGGGCCTATTATCCAGTCCAGTCATATTAGCCCCCTTTGTATACCAATCACTATTAGCATGTGTATGATACACCAACCGGACTGGACATAACTAAACAAACAAGATTGAGATAGGCAGCCAAAAATTATGGAAAATTCTAAGATAGCGTTTGGTCCGTAGACATGACTAAACAAGACAAGAGGGTAGGACTGTACAAAACAAGTGTATGTCTAGTGTTTGGTACGACTAAAATTGGACATGACATAACTAGAGAAGTTGCCCCAAAAGTTATTTTAACATTTTGACACATTTTTCATATACATAAATATAAAATAGTACCAAATTTGAATAAGTTTATTTTTTTATATAATTGATGATATTTTGTGAAAACCCGATTCATACAAAGGAGAAATTATGTTTTATTCGGTTTGGAAGATTCTTATCAGTTGGTGATGGTACGGTGAAAATTGTTACAACAATGGTATGTGGAGGTAGAAACATAGGTAATTGGTGGTTACGGAGGACATGCCGATGGTGGTTATGAAGGACATGAAGGTGGTGGGTAGTGGTGGTGGTGGTGGTCGACAGTGGTGGAGGAAGCAGTTGTGGCCTATGCGATGGTGAGCAATGGTGGTGGTTATGGTGGAAGTGATGGTGGCCAACGATGCTAGTGGTGGTGGAGATGGACGGTAGTCGTTGTGGAGGATGTGAGTATGGTAGATAGTGGTAGTGGTAGCCGGTGGTGGTGGTGGGAAATGATAGTGGTTATGTTGGAGGTGAGGTGGCCCACGGTGGTGGCGATAAACGGTGTTCATCGATGGCCAACGATAGTTGTGGAGGTATGAAAGAGGTGGTAGTAAATGAGAAGGTGGAGGTGGCCAACAGTGGTAGTAGTGGTGCCAATGGACGGTGGTGCTCGATGGCTGAAGATGGTTGTGGAGGTGGTGGAGGAGGTTGTTGTAGTAGAAGAGAAGTTGGAGATGACCAACAATGGTAGTGGCGATGGACGATGGTGGTTATGAAGGTGGTGATAAATGATGGTGGTCGGTGGTCAATGGTGGTTGTGGAGGTGGTGGTGGCCGACAGTGACTACTGGTGGTGGCCGTGGCCGGATCTAGCGACGATGACCACTAAAACAAATACCATGTTAATGTTATATACCAAACGAGAGTTAATTAGTAATATTTTAATTTATGTCTTATTATTGTCCCATATATTTTGGTGTAACAAGAAAAAGTTTTTTTTTTGTCCCTATCCCTTGTCGTACAAAATGTGGGACAATGAATTCTTGTCTTGTTTATGTCGCGTCAAACATGGAACAATGAGTTTTGTCTTATTCTGTTCCATGTACCAAATGTAGCATAAGGTTTTAATTTGACATACATAATTTAGTAATATATCTCCCAACATTTTATTCCACCTATATGGGTGAGATAATACTCAGGTCAGGTCATGTTTTAATCCAATTGTACGGCAGACGTGAGATAACAAATTTTTGTGTTTTCTATCCCGTTATGTTCTATGTAGGTCAAACTAGGAATATTAAAACAAATGCTTTTTCTTAAAGGACTAAAACTGTAGATTAATAAATGTCAAGGGACCATTTTTATCAAACAAACATATTTGGGTGGAAGTTCGCTCAAATCCCAGGACCCCAGCTATGAAACTTGATTTTGGGAGGGAGATAGACGATAGAAATCTTTGGAAAAATTTCTAGGGTTAGCAAGAGGGAAGAACGATACCCAAATTCAGCATAGCAAATTCCCAGCCAAACCTCGCTGATTGCTACTGAAGAGAAGACGTAATGGTGCTGGAAGAAGACCAAGAGCAAGACCAACCTAATGATAACGGTTTGAAATCAGCCGGCGACAACAGGTCCGATGAAAAAGGCTTAGGTGATGTCGCTGTCGAAAGCCCAGATGATGCGAAAAATGTGGAGGATGATGATAAGACTAGTGGAATTGACGGTGTAGCTAATCAGTTGCACTCGGTTGTAGTAGGCCCAGGTGAGAATGTAACGTCTCTAGACACAGAAGTACTAGTTGAGAAACAGGACCAACTGGACAATGGCGGAGAATACCGTTTTCCGTCTCCATCTCCATCCCCGACAGGCAGTGGTAGTGGTAATGGTGGGAGCAAAGATGATGAAGCAGAGGACGAGGAGCATCAAGGGAATCCCGAGAGATTATTGGTCACCAAGACAGAGGTGGAGTTGTCACCAGACATGGAAGAGGAAAAGCTAAAGCCCGAGGGACTATCAGTTACTAAGATAGAGTCGGAGTTGCTCCGCCCGGAAGGGGAAACTAGGGAAGAGGAGGCGATGGAGGATGATGACGAGACGGAATTAAACAACTTCACAAGGATGGAGCGGCCACAAGCGGAGTTGGATGCCGGACATGAGGAGGGGATTGGACTTAAGACCCTTCAAAACCAGAAATCGTTCCTCTTGGAGCCTAATTCAGCCGTAGAAGATGAATCTGGGACTGAGGAGGACCAAGCGGCATTCATGAAGGAGCTAGAAATTTTCCACAAAGAGAGGTGCTTAGAGTTCAAGCCTCCAAGGTTTTATGGAGAGCCATTAAATTGCCTCAAGTGAGATCCTCCTTTCCATCTTGCCTGACCTATTTTTGACAAAGCTATTATCGATTTATTAGTAGGTTTATAGATTTTTTCTTAACATATGTTCACATCAGGTTATGGAGATCAGTGATCAGGCTTGGTGGCTACGAACAGGTACTCTTGGTCTTACAAATCTCTTGTCTAGTGTGTTCCTGTTATCTGTCTTAAGTGATACGTGTTTATTACATGTTCCCTTCTTTTGCAAAATGCATTCCTGATTATTCATTGGTACTGACATGTGTACATTTTTTCTGTTAATTCTCTGAGAACATATTTCTAGGGGGTTTTCATGTTTGGGTAGATTTTAAGTGCAGATGCTGTCTTTGCCTCTGTACTCTCTCTTCAGATGTTCCTCATCCACATTAGCACCTAGGGAATCCCCTTTATTGCTTTGCCCTAAACATGCTCTAAAAATTGCAGAAAATTAGTTTTTGGGTGAATGGTTGTGCTTTAATCCCCCAGTGTGCAAAAGCTTAGACAGCATATCTATTGAGGCAATCTTCACTCTGCGTATTTTTATTTTGTCATCCACATTAGCACCTAGGGAATGTTCTTTATTTCTTTCCTAAACATGTTAGAAAATTGTAGAGATTAATATTTTTGGCTGATAGTTGTTTTTTCATCTTCATCGTGTATTTAGATGTTGGCTCCCCTACAAGGGTGGCCATTAGTGATCTGCTGCAAGACATATGTTCATAATGATTAACGAAGTACTTTGTTTACTTAAGCTTATACTTTGGAATGAAGGTTTTGCACATGCAAAGGGTGGTGAACTGACCTAGTTAAACAAACATGTAAAACGTATGTCAGTAAGTACAACATGCTAATGTTAGTTGCATAATATTTCATATATTCGTCAATGATTATATTATATCAACTTTTCATTATTGTATTGTCTGTCTGTAGATTGGATCAATACTACAAACATATGGTGGTGGCTTTTGTTCATGATGTATCTTTCTGTCTTACTTGTTTGTGACCCTGTTCTTGCTAGAGCATTAGGCATGGCTATGATAGGGACTAGAGAGACCAACTTTTTTGTTTTTGTTTTTGTTTTGAAAGCTCTCAACTATGACACTGCAAACTATAGAAGCTATCTTTTAAGTAGCATTCATTTAATAAACCTAGGAGTTTAGTTGAAGAGAATGACCTAATGTAGTGAACCATAATAAACCACTTCCATGCTTCCATGATTATTTAATTATATACTTCTTCTACTTCCATGCTCATTCATTTATACGCTTCTAATTTTTTCATTACGAATTAACTTTAGATGTGCCCATTTTGCATCTTACCACACTTATGAGTATCTGTGATTTTAAAGCGATTTGTAGTGTTGCTTAGAGTAAGAAGATAGATCTGATTTTATTATAGCATGATATGAAGAGTTCAAGACATTTATATGTTCTCACTTGTAGGTGACCTCTTGCAAGCTGTGGCGACAAGTGGGAGAATCATTTAAACCCCCGAAGTAAGTATCAAAATGCCTTTGGTTGGTCTGTTTATTCACCTTATATGACAAAAGATTTCACCAAAAAACCTTATTTTGTATGACTTTGGCATAATCTAGTTAGAGTTTTAAGAAGCAAATACATGCCAAACTTGCATGTTACTTAAGTTGCTTGGTCTTTGACGCTAATGTGGCTTGCAACAATTTTCATTATTATGGTCCTCAAGATCTGTTACTTTGATGCACCTTCACTATCATTTAATTCGTTTTCATTTTATTTTCTCTCTTTTGTTACCGACTACATTTGAGTAATTGCCACCGGTTTTTCATTTAGCGACCCATCATGTTGTTCTTTATTTCTTAACAACTAACACCCATTAATACCAACTTCTCTTGCATCATGTCATTTTAAATATTGCATTGATGCTTATCAATTTTGAGAGAACTCTTTTGCCCAAGTCATGTTTTGGTTCACCGGCATTACCATAGATGTATAACAGTACAAAATTTTCTTTTCATATCAAAGTGTTATTTTTTTGCAACAAAAATAGGTTTCTCAATCTCAATGTAGTTTGAGATGTTAGACCCCTCTTCTACAGATGTTGGAGTAAGGCATAAATCTACAAGATGGAGGGTATTTGTGCCTTGATAATTTTACTCGAGATTGATCTAGTCAATCCACATTTGGGTACTTTCTCCCACCTCACTATACTAGGCCTTTGATGACACTATACTAGTCTAAAAGTAAACTGTACCATTTTTCAATCCTCCATGCTCATGATTAGTCACCATTCCGGAGAATTGCAAACATATCCTTTCTGTCCTAGGTCCAAAAGTTGTGCAAATCTAATAATGGGGTAAGTTACAAAGCTTCTGACATCTCCAAGCCAAACCCCTTCTTAAAAGGGAGTTAGAACTTTATATGTTCTCAATTTGAATGAAGTAGTTTTCATGAATAGAGATGGTGGTGTCATTGGTCTGTTGGTAATGTGGTGGTTGTTGTCAAATTCCCGGGGTTAGCAATGGAAGTTAATGGCAATGGTATAAGAAAAGAGACTGTTGTTTGAAAGTGTTACCAGGACTGGGTAAAATGTCGCTTTGGAGAGGCATATGTGCTTTTGAGGTTTGCTCAATACGTCCCTACATAGTTGGCTTCGTATTGCTTGTTTTGAGTGCAAAGAAAAATGAAGCCGTACCATAAATAGCGCTAGAACGATAGTTTATTGAGAGAAAAGGAGAAGTGACATACTTCTAGAGGCCATATCCTTTAATAATCCATTTGTTTTCTCCTGCAAATCATTTCTATTTCTTGTTTTATATGCATGGGCCATGTGTGATAAATGTTTATATGTAATTATGTATACATGTCTCCGTGATGTATGCTAGTGCATGATAGATAAAAAGAACAAAATTTTTTGAATAGTAATTTAGAAGCCAGAAACAATGACGGTTATGAAAGTGAAGTTTCAGTTTCCACCCCTGTGGTCTAATTTCTCAAACCTAGGTAGCTTAAAAGTAGAGAAAGGTTAAAAAAGCAAACTACTAAAAGAAACCTTACAAATTGGATTACTAAAAGCATCCATAGAAAAGACAAATATATTATATGAAGTATTTATTTATATGATCTCTATATAATTGCTGCATGCCTGCATCCCGTATCCACATTTTCTAAGATTTCAAGAATCTTTGTATCATCATATCAGTGAGAGACAACATGGAAAGATAAGACAAGGAAGAAATGGATTTACCATAAGGTCTTTTATACAAGTGAGAGGTATGCTATTTTTTTCTTCTTCTCAATTAATCGTTTTCTTTCATGGAGAAGGGGGCGATAGAAGAGTATGGGTGGGAAAGAGTAAAAAGGAAGTAAGTAGTCAAATCAAAATTGAGTGACCAAAATATCACAAAAGAATTGGAATTAAACAGGAGGGATTGAAGATGCTAAATGTTTGCTCTTTTTCCCTGTTTATTTAAGTGGAATCTAACTATTAGTATCTAGACAACAGAATTTCTGTTGAACAAAAGTTGTAAGTCCTATGTTTAAGGTCATTAACGTTTCGAAACATTTGCAGTGTCAGATTATCTTATATGAGGTGAGAAGAAATGATGATGTGATTCTAGGTCCTATTTACTTAATGTTACGAGAATTACAATGGGTCCCACAGAAAGAAGAATGTAGGAGGTAAATGCTGTAAACAGATAGCATTTGATATCCTTTTATGGTTGTTAATCTAGTTAGTTGTTGTCAAAAATGATTTGTCGAATGGCCACCATGGTGAATCATGTGAGCATAACAACTATGCATTTCTAGGCATATGATAGGGTGATATTATAGTTAGTTGGTGTGCTCTTGAGAAGAAGAAAATCTGTACAATGCATGCTAACATCATTAAAACTAGTACGACTACATGCTAATAAGTATGAAAGTATGTGATAGTGACACAGATGCTTTTTCACATATTTTTTTCTTTAGCATGCATAAGTTCACAATAGGCATACAAATGATATAGCATGTTAAAATGTTCTTGACCATTGATATAGTATTGCTTGCTGAGATTAGACGTTATGTTAATGCAAAGATGGAGGTTTGGATGAACATTTTAGAATTTAAAGGTCCTAGGTTAAGTCAAACAAACTGATGGATATAAAGTGCAATTTTAACGGTGTTGACAGGGAACATAATGTTAGTAAGCATCGATGAATAAGTAGTTGAGAAAATGGATTATAGGAGTGTGTGACTTGAACTATTGATTGGTCTGTGCAGATATGTGCCTTTATTTATCTGCCACATTTGAATTTGTTATATGGGATTAGTTTACAATAAGGTGGAGCCGTGGAGGTATTACGAGGATGCTAGTCATTGTACAGGAGCAAGGTTGTTTAAATGGTGCAAGCTTCATTCATTGGCATATTTCATTGAAATTGCAAGGGAAGTTCCATGGTATGGTGGTGTGACTTGTTATGTTTTTTGGGAAAAATGTGAGGCCACCAATATATATGTAAACGAAGTGTCTGGCAGAGATGCTAATGCCGAGGATGATAGATGAGAGAAGTTTGGGTTTGAGGAGAAGTGGAGGTAACACCATTTGACGTTTGGTCATCTTCATTTAGACCTTTGAATGCTCTATTTAGAAGTAGAATTGTTCAAAGAAGTCGTCTGAAGGAGAGGTAGAAATCTTCAAAGATTGACATGGAAGGAAGTAGTGAAGAGAGATTTGGATGAGTGGTGTAAAGGAGGAGTTGGCTAGATTAGATTGCATGGAAGGACACTATTTCTGTCCTGGAACTCTAGGGGATTTATCTCTTTATGCCGTGTTGCACCTTTTATAATGTGTTCTATTTCATTTTAGCCTACCCCAACTAGTTTGGCATGAAAGGCTTTTTGTTGTTGTTTAATTATTATAATGGAATTTAATGGAGCCATCACATTACAATTCTTCTGTTAAATTAGTCATGTACTAATATATTTTTTGGTGGTTAATTTTGGGGATCAATCGAGGAACATTATAGTTTGGTCACCTAAAAATGCGTTTGGCTTGCTCTCTCTCTTCCATATAAGTGTCATCATCCGAAATTTTTAACTTCCCTCAAGTGGAGATAGTGTAATCATACTTCTCTAATAGTACCTGTAACAAGAAATGATTCTACATTTAGAAAAAAGTCAAAACACATTCTGGAGAAGGCTTTCAATTTAACAAAATCCCCCCTTGTTTTGTTTTGCTTCTGAAGGATATGGTTAAGAAGCATATCCATTACAACATGTTGCATTTCATTCTTTTGCTTTCAGTGGCATCACTTGACAAGGAATTCCCGGCATCTTGTAGAAAAACAAAAAAAAGTTGTTGTAAGAAAGAACAATCTGAACTTTGGATGACCTTTCCCCCTCTCTTATCATGTTTACTTGTATGTCTGATTACTTTTTTAAGTTTTTATATGAATATCAGTTTCACAGTCTAACGTTTATGATTCATTTGTGACAGGACTTGTACTACTGTCTCGTGGACATTCCGGTGTTTTTATGAGAAGGTTCTTGTTTAATTACACCATCTCTTTTTCTTACATTTACATTATATTGGTGAAAGTTTACTGTTTCTTTTTTGACTTTGCATAGCAATTTCTTACTGAAGTTATCTTTTAGGCTCATTATCCTAAGATAGGTAGTTTTCAACACAATCAAACTTGTGTTATTGCTTCTTATTTAAAACCTTCTCTCAGTTGACTGTGTTTGAATGCATTACTAAGAAGTTGAAAGTATAAATATTTACTGTGGTGGTGTAGGTCGAACCTGTGTTAGCTATAATTTCTTCACAAGTTTGTAAGGTACTGATATTTATCAGTGTAAAGTTAAGATACAGATTTTATACAACATGAAATTTAAGTCCTCAGATTCTTGGAACATAATAAGCCTATAGCCATTTGATGGAATTTTTTATTGAATATCAAATTGTTATGATTTCACTGAACTAGCCAGATCATTTAGTTTCTATTTAGTTTTGAGGTTGCTTTCAATTATATTTTGTTTGCTGTGACATGCCAACATCTTAGGTATGAAGTCTAACATATTGTAGGATCTGTGCAATGATTCTTGAATCCCTACTTCTTTTCCTTTTTAACTTGTTTTTAGAAATCCATCTTGCATCAATACTCACTTACAGACAACATTTTTGTTAGTTTTAAAGCATCTCCAACCGGCCGGTAAAACTTCACTTTTGCTGACCGGTTTCCTCCACCCGCCCTGCATCTTGGCTAGCAAAATGGATTTTGGGAGGTAGACCGTGATATTTGGCGTGTAATTATTCATCTCTGGCAAAAGGGTGTGAGAGGAGGGTTTTCGAGGAGAGAGTTTTAGTGTGTGGTTGGAGGGGTTGTGTTTTAGTGTGTATGAGCCCACAGTTTTGTGTTTTAGAGTGTTACTGTGGGTTGGACTTGCTCTTATGACAAGATTTGATAGATGGAGAAAACTAAATTTCATCATTGGATGGTTGCATGGCATATTCTTTGAATTGATTGGGATGACAATGGGAAGATAGACTATTCTCATGAGCTTGATGCAATCTGTGCTACTTGGGTTGTTAAGAAGGGTTTAGCTCAAGAATGAAAGATAATTCATTAAGCTTGAAAGATGTCCAAATTTGTAGCAATGGGAGGATTCTAAATTGAATAGATACAATGCTTTGGCTTTTACAATATATTGGTCAAATCATTAATGTGATCATAGAAGCAAGCTATATATTGTAACATGTTTAAGGAACACTACTTTAAAGCTCGTGTAGTTTCATTTTTAAAACTGTAATTCTAGCCATTTTCCTATTAGTTAACCCACTGGCTTAGCGATGATCCAGTCTGGATAAAGACAGCATTGGCTGGTTGGAATGTGATTATTCTTTTGTTATCTGCCTTTTGATAGTTTGTAAATATTTGGCACTGTTATTATGGCTTCACAAAGGGTGTTCTTTTTGTTTGGAGACTTCCTGTGCGAATGCACTCCACAGCCTTGGGTTTGTATAAGTTAGTTATTTTTTGGTTGAATGGTTAGGAATAAACAATTAGCAATCACTCTATCAAGTTGCTTTTCTTTCATTATTAAGTTGCTGACACAAAAATTTGCAGGCATTGCTTGAATATGAGAAGTATAAGATGAGCATTGGGGAGCTGCCATTCACCGATGCTTCTTCTGCAGAACCTGCTTCTGGTGGAAAACAGGTATCTCATTTAATTATTAGAAAATATTGTATGTTTAATTGTTCTTTATATACCAGTGCTTGAAATTTTGGTGTTCCTATTGAGATGCTTTATTTCTGCTTTCCTCACTAGACTATCAGCTTAACACATCTAACTTCAATTTCATTAGTTCACTAATTTGACGTGTAATTTTTTTCATCAGAGGAAGTTACTTTCCCTCCAGAATGAGTGCTTCATTGAACTTTTTGTATGGTCCTTAACTGAATAAATTCTTGTTTGCAGGCCAATTTAAATCAAACTCCCGGATCAGGAAGGGCCAGGCGAGATGCGGCTGCTCGAGCTATGCAGGGTTGGCATTCTCAGCGTCTTCTTGGTAATGGTGAGGTTGGGGATCCCATCATTAAGGTATATTGTTATATTCTTGATCCATCATGTCTAAGTCATACTCAACTTTTTGTTTCCAATTTTATTCTGTACTCCGCAAGATGTGGCATGCCAAGTGGTTACGTTGTGGAGTCAATTTTCTATGTTAATGTTTATAGATCTTGAAATATGTGTGTAGCTCTTATAATGTTTGAATTGACATAATCACCTTTGATTTGTAGGATAAGACGTCAAGTACAACGTTAAAGCGTGACAAGCAAAATATTGGTATAACTCGCATCAAGTTGTAGCATAAACATCTTTGAATGCCTGTAGTTTTTTTTTCTTCTCCTGACCATTTTCTTTGGCTTTTGTGTTAACTTATTAGGTTTGCTGAAGCGTAAAAAACCATCATCAGTTGAACGTGCTGTCAAAGTTGCACGCATGAAAGCGTCAAAACCACAGTTGAGATATCTTGTTTATCTCTTGGCTTTGTAATTGTGCATCTTGTTTCCTGGTACAATGTACTCGACACTTGAAATAAAACATACATATTAAAATATGCAAGAGTAAATTACAAATTTCGTCTTGTGGTTATATGAAAATCATGGATGGGGTCCCTCAAAGTAAATGGTTACAAATATCATCACTGTGGTTTCAGTTTTGTTACATTAGGTCCCTTGACCTTACTCTGATAAATTTTTTTTGTTAAACGAAGAACAGTTTAAGTACCAATCAGGTGGTGCCACGTGTCCACTCATCCCTCCCTCTTCCACATCTTCCCCCCACCCACCCACCCCACCTTACCTTTCACCGTTGGTAACATCCACCTTGATTTTTGCACAGTGATGGTGGTTGTAGTGGCTGTCAGCATTCACCTTATTACATACCCTTGCAACACTGCCAAATTTGGAAGCACACCATGCATTTAAAAAAAACCCAAAACATTCAAACCCATCTCCTTCGAAAGGAAGCATTTCCATGGGGATGGTGAAGTGGGGGAGGAGGGATTTAGGGAGAGAAGGAGAAGATGAATGCATCAAACATTCAAACCCATCTCCGTCAAACCCTCGTTACCTTCAGGTAATGACGAGACAACCCTGAACTTTAAGAAGCTACCTGACAACCCTGAACTTTCATATCTTGCACACTGACACCTAGGTTTACAATAGTGATTATCAGATCTTAGAATCCTCATAATAGACACAATAACTCCAGCCTCTTAACAGCAGGTTTGGCAAGACTTGTGGTTTCCTGTGAAGGATGCCAAGGGGCCTGAAAGCTCAGGCAAAGTTATATTAAGTCGTGATTGGTTTGATTAAGGTAAGAATGAAGTTGTGATGGTCATTTGAAAAATTTTCAACAAGGCCACAACTGGTATGAGAAACTGGGTTGTAGTTTGGGAAGTTTGTAACAACTTTGAAAACCTGCGAAAAGGCATAAAATATTATGAAATCAGATTCTGGGGTTCTGTAAGATAACCACATTTAAGGATGATCTGGTGATCTTGACAAAGGATGGAACAGGGTCTTTAGGTGTCAGCATGACATGGGTAGACAAAACATTGCAACAGCATGTGAAATAATCAACACAAACAGGGCAGGTGGAATGTGACAGATGGCAGCATAGAGTTGGCTGATCCGGCTCTGATACCATGTCATAAAAAAACAGAAGATATTACTGCTCAAGGAAGATCAATAAACTACACCATATATGTAGAGAAGGGGACTAGACTGAGAAAGCAAGTAAACTTGGAAAATAAAAAATAGACTAATAATCTTGATAAAGAAAAGACTAATATTATCAACACATTACTATCTCAAATGACAAAATTCTCTTGCATTAACTTACACTTGCTGCTGTAATGAATATCTCAGATTGGATTCCATGGTTGTGGATATTGGCCCCCCTGCTGATTGGGTGAAGATCAATGTGCAGAGAACTGTAAGTTAATATGTTCACTTAATTGTTTGATCCATCTTTGATTGATGAACTGTAATTGACATTGAGGAGCTTTATCATAGTCTTTTGATGCATTTTAACTGGTTCGAAAATTCACTATACAGAAGGATTGCTTTGAGGTGTATGCTTTGGTTCCGGGGCTTTTGCGTGAAGAGGTATTTGGAATTACTCCCTGTTCACCATAATTTTTTTTGTGTAATAGGCAAGCATGCGTGCTTTCTTGATGGCTTTTTTTAGGCTTATAACTGGTGGGTGTAGATGGAGTTTGAACTATCTACTAAGATTTGATAGTAATTTGAATTGAAATTTGAATCCAATAACTGATCTATACACATAATTCAAAGTGGGATATAAATCTAGAATGCTGATGATTTTTTTTGACAACAAATTTATGTTGATTATTGCAAAAATGGAGTATCAACAAGAAACCTTCCATTCCAGATTAGTTGGATAAGCTAAAAACTGTAGGACAGTAGAAATTATTGATGTGAACCCCTCGGGATACAAATAGTGCATAGCTTCCTATTTAAGGCAGACTCTTTTGGTAATTCCACTCCCTCATATTTCTTGTCACTAGTTACCTAATGTCAAATTTAGCACACTGATACCTCTCTAGACAACCACTTGTGGTGAGAAGTCTCCTCTTTTAACGATGCCTTCAAGGTTCTACATTGAAGATAACCAAGGCATCTTACTTGGTGTTATCTCAGTTTCTCCTCAATCTGTGCAACCTGACCTCTCTCGTATGTTATCATTTTATAGTCTTATTCATCAATGCATGGGCATAAATCTACCTTCAAGTTCTCATTTCTGCCACACATCTTGTGTAAATGTTGTCTTTTGGTGGCCTAACATTAAGTCCCATGCCTCATAAGTCGTATCCTCTCACCAATATAAGTATTTTACTTTTAACTTCAATGAGACTTCCAAATGATATAATGTGGAGATACGGATATATTGTAACCTCTGGATAAGGATATACTTGACTCTTATCTTTAATATGATCTTATTCTAAAGGTGTATCACAGATTTTCAAGATGAAAAATACGTAAGGTAATTTTCAATATGTAATTCAGTACAGGAGAATCCCCAAGTATTTATACGCATTACAAATAGAGTCCCTCTAATTCGAGACAAGAGTAAACTATATCCTTATCCAGGGGTTACATCGTATATGTATCTCACAAGACATAGAACTCTAGAGCACGTCGAGATTTTATCTGCCCTGTGCTTATCACGTCTAACATCCTTACTAATCCCTGTATCCTCAATAGCAGAATATGCATATCTTTTTCTTTTTCTTAGCAACCGACGTGCACTATTTTTTATTTTTTCTTAAGCTAAAATCCTATGGATTCTGAGGCGTTTCTGGATGCCTCTTACTTATTGCCCATTTTAATCAATCAACACAATATCTTGGCTAAAAGCATATGCCATGGTAAATCATCTTCTATGTCCATCATATGATCTACAAAGAAACAAAAATACACAGACTTAACACTCACCATACTTGTGCAATATAGTAATGAAGAATTAGGAAAGCATCTAGCACACCATCAAACACTTTGTCTAGGTTTACTATATATCAGTTACTGTAAACCTAAATAAGCTAGTAGTGAAGTTGTTTTGTTACATTAATTTTGATTTTGTCAATCCTGTAGATACAATATGAGGGTTTACAAACTTCAAGATTATTTGGATTAGAAAATCATTACAGTTTTTGTCCAAGATGGGTTTATCTGATTTTCGGTTTTAAATTCTATAACCACTTATATTTAATATGATAGTTTACAATCTTCTGTTTTCATGGTTTGTCCTATCTGAGGCTTCAAAGATCATCATTGTGAGAAATTAACTGCTGGTTTATATAGCTTATGTATGCCACTGGTGTATTTTCCAAATACCTTCAAATTCTTGCTTTTTAATTTCCTATTCTTTATTATTAAGCATGTAGCAGCATGTGTAAACTAAGGGGTGAAAATACTTGCTGCTTGTTTGAGTCTTCTTTTTGCTCATTAATAGACCCCCTTGTTCAAAACTCGCCCTTGTTCAAAACTCGGTAGTCGAGAGCGATGAAACAAATTTTGCACAACCCTTTGGTTTTTCTGAAACATATATGTACATCTTTTTTGGGGATGGAAGCAGGTGCGGGTACAGTCTGATCCAGCTGGTCGGTTGGTTATATCTGGTCAACCAGAGCAGCTCGACAATCCTTGGGGTGTTTCTCCTTTTAAAAAGGTTTGCCTACTGCTTAACAAATTTGATTTGATATTCGAACGAGTGTTTGATGCATTATGGTGTGATTTATGGTGGTGCAGGTTGTGAGCTTGCCATCTAGAATCGATCCTCATCAAACGTCGGCGGTGGTAACCCTGCACGGTCAATTGTTTGTGAGAGTGCCATTTGAGCAGTCAGAGCTGTAGCTTTTGTTGATTTCAGATATAGTTTTAGTAGTAGTTGTAGAAGGATAGTTGTGCAGTTGATGTGTCTACTGTTCTCAACAAAAAATGAAATATTATTATAATAATTATTATTATTATTATGTAGAGCTATCTTTCATACTTTCTGTCTAAACATGCTTACCCTATCTAATGCACACTTGGTAGAGAAACCAAGTTCAACAATACAAAGAAATCCTAATTCCTACTTCATTGGTTCTAATCCTACACATAAACAGGGGCCGTTTACCAAATGCTTATTTGGGTAAGCGTTTACCAAGTTATATTACCTTACCGTATGAATATAGTAAGGACCAAAAATCTTACCCTGTAAGAACGAGGCAAGGACTGAGAGTCTTACCTGGTAATGAGGGCAATGACTCTTACCACAGTCAGCTCTTACCGGGTAAATTGTCGCATAGAAAACCGTTTTTATTGACTAAAATCTTATCCAGTAAGTAAATAATAATATTGAATTTTACTGGTAAGTGTTTACCGGATAAGTGTTTGGTAAACGACCCCTTAGCTACTTACGTACTATTAACTATATAGGGGTTATGTATCTAAACAGAGTTAGTTACTTGCATACTATTTACTTTTCTTTTGGCTGTCAAGATGGATTGTTGGTAAGAGTCTTTAACCCAGTAAGTGCTTACTTTTTTTTTTCCAGCACTTACCAGTTAATACTTTCGGTCTTTGTTATACCTTTTACAAGGTAAGATTTTTGGTCCTTGTTATATTTTTTACCAGGTAAAATAAAAAACTCCCAATTAATTTTATATGAATTTAAAGTTTGATATAATTAGAATTCAAGACAAGTCAAAATCTCAATCTGATAGTGATTAATGAATTAGTTGATTACATTTGAAGGAGTCAAATGTAGAAATCATCATCCAATTGTTTGGTTTGCAACATCTATCACTGCATTTTTTTTTAAATCACGTGATTATTTAAATCGCCCAACTTTGTTTTATTTATCAAAATGACATTTAATTATTTGTAAAATGTGTTCTAATATATATTAAATATATTTTATGGGTAAAAACGGTTTTTCTATCGTATGTTCTGAATATAAACATTCAATGTGTGATTTATTTCAAGAAAGTGATTCATATTGATTGCACATGTTCCGGGATGTTTACCAAACACTTACCTAGATAAGCGCTTACCATGTAATATTACCTCACTGGAGGAATATGCTATGGGTTCGGGGATGGTGCTTCATGATGGCGAAGGGAAAATTTATTGCTTACCGAATGGCTCAGAGGCAAGGTATCCCAGATGTAAAGGAATGCAAGTCAATCACCTTGTTTAAGGCATTGATGTGGATTCGAGACATGGGGCAGGAGAATCTCGTCTTCGAAACCGATTCCCAAACTGTTGTCAGCACTTTAACACACAAAGAGGAAGATTGCATGGAGTTTTGGGACATCATTCATGCTTGTAAAATGGTCTTAAATGCTACCCTGTCTTTTAAGGTTAATTTCATTAGGCGAAATAGAAATGAGGTTGCCCACAAGTTAGCTAGGCGATCTCAGTTCTTTGTCGAGCCCATCTCGAGGGCCGGCTCTCCCGAGTGGTTGATCGAGGACTTATTATCCTTTTGCAACGTTCTTGATCGTTAATATAATCGTTGCGTTACCTTTGTCAAGAAAAGAGAGAAAGAAAGTAGAATATCATTTAATTAATTAAGAAACTGATTCACATTAAATGCTTCTAATCATGTGTCCTAATATATTTTAAGGCCACATAAGATAAAAACTCATGTAAAAAAATAAATAAGAAATAAATCTTTATTAAATGGTTTTTTTATTATTAAAAATAAAAAAAACTGAATACAAGAAATGTCATTTCGTCGTAGCTTTATCTCTTATTCTTGTTTTTCTAGATAGAAGAGTACTTAAGATTTATGTACTAAATATTAGGTATTTAAAAGAGTTAAGAATGTAAGAAAAACAATGGATTTCGAAATCATGAATAAATATATGAGTTGTACCATCACTGCGTTATTTTGATATAATAAGAGAAATGCTTTCACGAGAACAAAACAATTAACAAAGTCCGTAGGAGATGAATGATGATTATCAAGTTTTTTTTTGGCAATCAGGCAAATGAGAGTGAGTGGGAATCAGGGACGGACCTGGTTTGGAGCATACGGTGGCACGTGCCACCGTATCATTCCTCCGTTGAAGGGTAAAAGCTTTTAGGTTCGTGAAATGTGCAACCATATTAATTTGTTATGTGTCACCGTATATAGTTTAAAACTACGATGAGAACAAGTTTTATTTGGTAAAGTTGGTTTGCAAGACTTTTATTCCATCACAGACCCAAGTTCGAATCTTGTTAGTGTCATTTTCTTAATCAAATGGTGTCACCGTTTCAAAAAGGTTATGTATATTTATTTCTTATAGTCAAACGGTGCCACCGTTTGAAAAATTTTCCCTATATTTTTTTTCTTATAGTCAATGGTGCCACCATTTGAAAAAATTTCTGGGTTCGTCCCTGGTAGGAATGTGTGAGAATGAACAATTTATCGAAACCTAAGTAAAAAAATAATATAAACATATAACAATAACTAACAGAAGCAAAAGCAATAAAAAATATAATAGAAGCATAAAAATAACCAATATAAACAGTAGTAGATGCTAACAAATAGAAGCAAATAACAATAACAAGCTCATAAGCTTAAAGGTTAAGACCTAAAGTCGTTGTTCGTTAAATTGTTGAAGCACATAAATAGTTAATTGGCCCTCCAGGAGGTCAAAGGTTCAAACCTCGAGGGTCTATGAGTTTATTTGTTGCATTTGTCGTATATAATTATTATTTACATAAAAAAAAAATAGTCAAGTAAATAAAGATAGCAATAACCAATAGTTTCAGTCCTTGGTATTAAACTAAAAATAATAATAAGCAATGACAGAAAACAAAAGACTATTTAACTTTTCATATTTTCTTCTCCAAACCAAACTAACCCAATAAATTCTATTTGATATAGGGTCTAGGAAGGATGAGATGTACATCAACCTGACATCTACTTCAAAAAGTAGAACATTTGTTTTTGAAAGACCGTTGACTTTTGGCCAACCACGTTAATCTACTACCCTAATCATCCATCTTCAACTTCGTTTATGAGGTATTGTCATCGGAAATGTAGTTATTTAATATATTTTAGGAACTTATTATCTATTATATTCTTTTTTTAGTTCATATTATCTATAAAAACAATCAGCACTCTTGTTTATTATTTTTGTAAGTTGTATGTTGTACCCACGACACGTGTCACCCAGATAAACTGCCAACGAGCCACGTAAATCTAAAAGGTCGTACACAAAGAACACGTATGCTTCCACTAAAGAAAGAATCTAAACATGTGTACCATTTTGTGATTATTATAATTACAGGATTTAATCTATAAATATGTATATAATTATCTTAAATGTTTTTAGATAATTATGTAAGATATTATTAGATAAATAGATAATCATTTTAGATGATGAGTAAGCCTTATTAAGAGTTATGGTCAATCTCGAAGACTGACCATATAAATAAGGCTTAGGGGCTAAACCAAGGAAGATGATTGAGTTTTGATAATTAGTTGTAGCCTCAAAACCCTTACGATACAATTATAGAATTAAGATTCTTTGGGCTTGGACCTGGTGGGAGTTACAAGCGTGTTTGTATGTGGACAACCGATAAAAGAAACCTGATTTGGTTTCTTAGTGCTGCATCAAAGTTTCAATTTCAACCACAAGATAAATATTTTAAACACCTATGGTTTGTGTAGTTTCGTTTTAATTGTCAATGGATCCGGCTTTGGGTTTCATTTAGAAAAAAAAATTCTGAACGTTTTTGTAACCGGGTTTCGTTTTTCCGCTGCGTTTTATCCGGTTATTTTCGCAAACTAAAACCCAATAATTTTTTTACACTATTACAGTAGTATTATATCATAATAAAAATATGGATCCTTATTTTTCAGGACCGTGGGTAGACACCTATCCCACCCTCCGTCAAGAACAACCCAAAGAACCATAAAAATATTACAAACCCGTGAAAACCAATCTTAAGGTATTGTTTTACCTTATTTTTTTTTTCTTATTGTTAAAAAAATACATGTGAAACTTTTTGTTCAAATTATGAAATGAAAAATACATAATAATAAAATTTTACATTGTAAAACTAATATATATATATATATATGTGTGTGTATATATATATATATATAGAGAGAGAGAGAGAGAGAGAGAGATATGAATATGAAAAACATGTAGCAATAATTAAAAATATATATAGTGATGATGCAAAATTGCAAATCAACTAAGCAAAAAAGGTATGTTTACAAATACAATGTATTCTATAATGCAATTGATTTTTATGATGTTATTGATATTATAACAAATTATAAATATTCTAAAAGTTATCTTAAAAAGATAATTATTTAAAGTAAGTTATTTGTACTGAGATTGTTAATCATTAATACAATTATTCGTATTACTAGTCCCAACATTTATGCTCATGAATGTGTCATTAAATAAATTCAAATATGTTAAAAATTTCTGAGTTTTGCAAAATTAATTTACATTAAAAGTAAAAAAAAAAACATAGAAAATAAAGGGTAAAAAAAAACATATTTTCTTATATTAATTTTTTTTAAATGTAACCTTTTCTTTTCTAGAACATTCTTTCCACAATTATACAAAATATTTATGAGATTGATAGTATTCCTTAGGTTTTATCAATTATTTCGAACTGAATATTGAGTATTTTAAACTTTAAGGACGTAAAGAACGTTTTTTTATCATAAAAAATTGAATTGTTGTATAAAATTTTAATTAATTATACAAATAAAAATATACAAGCTCAAAATCAATCGAAAACAACAAAACAACTGATTGTTCAATCATGATCTTATTTGTATTAACCACCTCTCCACCTCAGGATAAAAGTAAATCTACGTACATCATCTCACCACTCTACTTCAAAGTATATGTCTGGTTTGGTTTAAAAGTTTCCTATTTGTTAACCCTCGAATCAACTTAAAAACCACCGTGACCAGGATGTGCCCTCCACCACCCCAACCGCGATTCCGCCCCAAGAGGTGGGTCATGCACCAAAGCATTGGACAATAACGGATGGTAATCACAATCATCAAAGAGTATTGGGTTTCAAAAGCCACGGGCCTTTCACAGAAGCAATACATTCACTCTAGTCTTTGGAGCAGAGATCACATCCGCATATCTCACCCTCCCTAGACTCCACCAAAGAGTCGAGGTCAGATCTGCATGCATCTCACCCTCCTGTTGCCCACATGTTAATTTTGGTTTCACAATCACCAACAGAAAAGAAATGTATTTAAAACAAACAGATTGAGAAGGCCTTCTTATGCTTGTCAAAAGCAAACTGATACAGCAAGAGCTCCTACTGTCAAAAGTCTTGATTACACCAGACCATATAATAATAACATTGATTAGAAGAAACTTGTTATCTGAACTTCTTTTTTTTTTTTTTTTTGGGGGGGGGGGGATGGTGATATGTATATATATATAATATATAAAATATATTCATCTGAATCAGGTGAATTATATACTAAAACAACTATATTATCCTGTCTATGATGCTTTTCCATGGAACAATGCGTAAAACCGGATTCTGATCCTTGCTGCTTTTCGCATTCTTGTTTACCTGACAGCAACTGTATGCCGCTGGCAACTCCATGGTTCCCTCTCTGTACACATATACCAAGTCGTCTCCAACCATTCGACACCATTTCTGGCTCCTGTCATGACCATGTTGCAGCGGCATTCCCCTGAAACAACCATAACATCACTTACCCCCTTCATATATACACAATCAACTCAATAAGATCAATGGAATATCATTCATCTGAGAACATGTGATTACTCTTCAAAAAGATCCATCGAGGATAGAAGGGAGGTTCCAACATATATTGTGGAGAAATGGTCCAAATTTAGTTGATATGGGTCTCCATATTCTACCAGACACATCTTAGATGTTAACCTTAATGCTAGAAACGATGATGCACACATCTGAGCATCAGTCAGAAAAATCCCTAACTCGAAATGGCCACCTATGGGGAAGGTCCCCAAAGCCTAGCCTTTATGCATATATGTAACAAGGTAAACCGTACTATCATTCAGCCTAGAATTAATGTGGTTCTCAAAAGCTATTTAAGCAACACCAAGAACTCATTCCCTACAATAGATTCTTGATGTAAATGAACAAACAAGCAATACCCATCTTCATTACTCTACAGAAGGATCAAATCTGTTAATTTCTAAAGAAAGTGACTAAATCTCCTTGATATTAACATGAACTCTAATGTAAACAATGATGATGTAGAA